ATTTCATATAATTATTATCCTTATTTTTGGTAATTATTTGAATACAGGTAAGAAATAAAAAAAAATCACCAAAATTATATAATTTGTTTTCTCTTTGAATTGTCAAGCTTTACAAAAATCATAAAACTACTACTGTTTACATAATCTATTATGGCTGCCTTCATAACAGTTAACAGTAAACAAAATGATTTTTGTAGACAAAACAAATGTTTATGTGTAAATTACATATAGTGATATGCTAAATGTGCCTAAAACTGCATGCAATTATTTGGTGTTAATGACAACTTGTTTTTTTTGGCATCCATGTCCTGTAAATTCAAACAGATAATTCTTATTGTTAATATATATTTTGGTAAGGTTAGTAGGTGACCGCTATTGTAAGCTAACTTGTTTTGTCACCAGAATGGATATTGTTGTATAGCACATTTTTCTTTAGAGGTGCACTTGTGCATGTACTGTAACCTAGATTTAAGATCTTGATTTAGAACTACAATAAACAGTTTGTTCACTTGTCTCAATATCTTTGACATAGTTGTTTTCTACATTTTAATTTTTATGTATTTTATATATATATACATATATATATATATTTAACTTTGAAATTTACACAATACATGCACTTGTTACTCACAGCTTTTCTGCAAATGATAACCTTTCAGTATTTTATTTTTCAAGCAAATTTGCCTTACTGAGTTATCTCCCAAAATTATGATAAAAATAGTTAATTAATTAAAAGTCAAAAATGTAGGCAATTACAGTATGCATGTGGGAGTGTACCAGTAGGTCATTACTTGGTTAAAGTAGGGTGTTCTAGCACTATAAAGAGAAATAAATATATCACAAGATACCAACCATATAACTATAAATTGGTCTAAGGGAAATATACCTATGTTACAATTATTGTTCTGTGGTAAGAAAGAAACAGGTAAACATAGAAAATATGGATTGTCAGAGCAGAAAGTACACAGGTAAACCACACATTCACCTGTATGAAACTAATGGCCCGATTATGTAATCTGAGACTATACATGCATACCTGTACATGAGATAAACAAAATAATCCGGAGTAAAAAAATCAAAGTTGTAGAGCAATATTGAAACCCATATTACAGTTAGGAGTGAGAAAAAACTATGAAAGGGCATTGAAGCTGAAAATATGCTAAGCATAACACGAAAGTTATTAGACGAATAATTGTAAGTTTAATGCGTTGTCAACAGCACTGTATTTAAATTAAGCATGTTGATTATATCATTGAATGCATACAAATATAGTAAGCAAAACACTTAAATTCATTGTTGAAAAAAAGAATGACTCTATAACCCACACACAAAACATATGGGTTGTCAATGTTTGTTCTAGTTATCGAAATCTGGGATGCTAGCTTCAATCTTCACCACAGCATATTTTCTTTCACTTCATCATCTCTCCTTTTACCAGCTCTCAGAGACAAATTTAAATCAAGACTAATATCCTAATACAGTTATTCAAAAGCCCACTTTAATTAAAAGTAATCAGCCCACTTTATTTAAAAATAATCTTCATGAGTGGAGCAAATGGGGATACTAATATCCCTGGACACCCCAGTTGAGGAAAGTTTCTTTGCATTTAAAACTAAACACCTGCCACGAATAAAATAAAACAAAAACAACATAAGTAGCATATGTTATTTGTCATGGACCTGATAATCTTTATCTACCATTACTATGATATTGAACTAGACATAAAAACAATGACATAGTAATCATACAAATGTTATGAAGAGAAACATTTGGCATTTGTTGTTTCATCAGAAACTGCAGAAAAGTATGCCATGATTAGTTCAATACATGATCACTTCCTATCCAGTGTACTCAACTAACAAAGAGAATCAAAGATGTCTTAATGTTTAACCTTCTTTAGTGATTTCTTGCCATAGAAAGGTGTACAATACCTGTGATTGTACACAGGTTGTTTTATTGAACATGACATATGACATATGTTACTATGGGTAAGACATTCTGTCCTGTACCTTATTGATATCTGAACAGTATCCGAATTCTTGAGACTTACAGAGATGATATCGGATCTATTACTGGCTTTGAAGATAGAAAGGAATGTTAAAATAATGCTTGATAGATATTTCATACAATGTGTTTCATTCTTTCTTGGAACTATTAAGATGATTAACAGTACTTGCCCTTCATTATAAACCAGTTTCGTACTTCCCACATCTTGTTATTTTAATTCTACATCGCATCCCCATGTATGTTTATGCGTAGGTTTGGTCTGAAGTTATCGTAAAGTTTTGCAGCTTATACACTTGTTAAAACCACAACTATGAGGTCTTGCTATGTTGAGTTGCACATATGGATAAATATGGCTGAATATCATGTCCCAGGACATCTTAGGAAGGTACATAAAGCATCTGACCCTTGTAGCATCACTTAGCCATTCTTATGTAAAAGCTTTCCCCTCATAGATTACATATATTTCAATAGTTACTATAGATAATACTACACCTAGAAGTCAAGGAAGATTGTTTAGTTATATTTTAATGCAAAATTGCCAGAAATGATACATATTGAATAGACTAATATCAATTATACTGCACCACAAGAAGCTGTACATATATATGTATATATATTGTTACATCACTTGCAGCATGTATCTTGCAACAATATATGATAAATGATAAACATAATTATGGCACTGAGTATGAACTGCAGCGTCTAAAAAGAAATGTTTATAATAAATATCAACCTCAAAGTTTCATGTGAGTGTTGGGAAATGTTCAAAAACACATAAATAATGTAAAATTTTGTTGTTTTCTCAATCTACTTTGATTGTTTTCTTAATGTAACAGGAATGATTTCCATATATAGAGGACCTACTTCGGTGGTGCTTCATTTACTTAATAATCGTTTACTCCACTTTTGTTGGCCCTTCAATATCGTCAACATTTCATTTAAAGGAACCCCCTACACATTAATTTGTCATGAACCATTTTGTGGAGAAATGGGAGGAATTTCATTGACAGTAATTTATTACTTTCTCAGAATGCATAGACTGAACTGTGGGAGGGTACTAAACTATATGGTTCTCCTCTTTGGAGTTTGAACTAATTCTAACTGGCATGGTGCATGTATCATTTGTTACAAAGTATGTTTATTTACGACACTATATACTTGTCCTGTGATACATTGTCTGTGAAGCAGTAGCATCTGTTAAAACAGCCTAGTTAGAGAGCTTTGCTCAAGCAAATGTAGTTAAAGTAGAGAATCACAAAATATGCAGTAAAGCCTGTTCTTTTATGCTGAGAATTTTAACTTGCCTGTTATACATGGTCAATCAAACTACTAACATTATTAGTGGTACAGTATAAAATTAAACTCTACAACTAATGCCAAGAGCAACAACTGAGAAAGTTGTTAAACCTTTTACAAGTTATACAGAGACCAAAAAGAATTATTTTTACTAATGTGTTTGATTTCAAGAAATAGTAATGAATCAGAAGTAATGAAAGAAAATACAACTACAATCACAAATATCTCAACAATGCAGCTTGGAAAATTGTTGAAAACTTCTATCAAAAATGACTATGTGTACTTAAGTCATCAATAACAAAAAATTGAAAGAACTCAGTGCAATGTATTGCAAAACATTTACAAATGCTGTGTACTAATTTACCATTAAAACCACAAATGTTTGAGATTTTGTTGTGCTTTTTTTCTCAAACCACACTCATCAGGTTTCTTCTATAGGCAGCCAATGATATTAAGATGCTATGTGTTACAAAGTTACTAAGGTTCTACAGGCAGATGATGTTACTATGGGTGGATGCTGTTACTAGGTGTATTTTACAAAGGCAGTTGGTATTACTAGGCGGATGGTCTTACTAAGGATAGTGGTGCTAGGGCAAATGGTGTTTCTATAAATGGATAGTTCAGTAGGATAATGAGGTCATTGTAGGATGTCTCAATATGTGATTATGAAACACATCTGTATATCTAATCATTTGCAATGATTAAATGAGTTTTATGAAATTTCTGTTTTTCTTTACTTAAAATAATATATAAAATTGGCATCACTCCAAAAAAAAATATTTGCTAACAATATCATATGAATTGTGTTTCTGCTGAACAGTTTATAAGCATAATTCTATATAGATTCAGTTTATTTTGATGAAAGAGTTAGCATAAAGGATCACATATAAAGTGTAGTAGACTTAAAATAAGACCCAAAACTTGAGCACTTTCGAATAGTTGACTATTCTTCTTCAGGAGAACAAGAACAAGAAGAACAGTCAACTATTCAAAAGCACTCGAGTTTTGGGTCTTATTTTAAGTCTACAGATTCAGTTTATGTAGAGAGAAATGGTTCAAATTTTTTATATAATATAAACCTTTATAATTTTATCTAAATTATTATTGTTCAATTTTAAATGCTAAAAAATATTATTCTGTTTGTCTCTACTACTAGTTTCCTCAACATCTGATTTCAAGTTCTAAATTGTTCTGTCATAGATTGAATAAAAATAAAAGATTCATTTATCAAATATATAGTTATTACCGAATTCAACAATATACTTATCTCTTTATCTAAAATCTTCCTACAATCTCACTTATTAGGATCAATCCTAAAAGATAAGTTTAAGCATTAAGAATTGTAAAATTATTTACTTAGGGTTGTTTGTTTGTTGAATTTTGTGCAAAGCCACTTGAGGGCTATCTGCACTAGCCATCCCTAATTTAAAAGTGACAAACTAGAGGGAAGGCAACTAGTCAACCACTGCCAATTCTTGGGCAAATTCATAGCAGCAGCCATTTTAAACTTACACTATAAGCGTAAAAACATGCTTTACCGTATAACCAGGTTTCATTTGCTTGGGCCCATGGACAGTTGCTTCTTTGCCCCAAACCCCCCCCCCCCCTCGTCAGTGGGCCTGGAAACAGCTTGTAAGTTTATTATGGTTACAAATATAATTATTACTACTCAGTCCTAATATAACTAAATTACTCACCTCTAATAAAGTTATTTCTTGATAAACTATTTCTTCCACAAACCCAAAAGGGGATTTTGACTGTTCTTCTGTAAGTCGAACTCCACCATGTACATGTCCACTAGAGGCACTACTTCCAGTGCTGTGTGATTGTTCCATTTTTACATCTATATATACAAACAGTTGCCAATATGTCCTCAGTTCTAAATCATGCACCCTATTGAAGAATAACACAGCTTTACCTCAAGCTAATGAACTTATTACTTTTCTAGTGCTCCTTAGATTTTATAAAATAATAACCTATAATACTTGTACGCTGCAAGCTTTTAGTTTTAGTTAAATAACTTCAACAGTAGTACTAGTATGCCTACTAGTATTAGTACAACTATCACTGTGGTAGTGCTACGTTGAGTAGCGGTGTAATACTTGGCTATGTCAGTCTACGAACAACCACTCTAACACCAACACTGTAACGTAAGTGTAAAGACATTCGAAGTAAGCCTCAGCACAGATATTTCATAGTCTTACTCTTCGACACCAACTTACAAAAAAATACTGTTTCTGTAGGCCTATGTTACTTAGTTAGTTAGTACTGTACTATACACTCTAAGGTAATATTTACTAACATAACGGTTATTACTAGTAGTTGTACACTAGATAAGGAAATTAAAGGATTCCATTTCCAACAAATTTAGAGACTCATTCATTATTAATAACCCTCCTGAACCAAATGTAACAAACTACTAACAGTGAATTTCACAAATATCTTTGTACTTAATTTCTCTTTTTCATGTTCTCCTAAACAACATAAGTACAGAAAAATAGTAACGAACAAGTTTCACCCATTAACGTCTTCATAAAAACTTAAAAGTGA